GAAACTAGTCATCAATCGCCGGATAACAGTGACAAGGTGCACGTTTTCACTCAGCTCAATATTGAGATTTCAACTAAACAGTGTGACAGTCATCGGACATTAAATGACGATGGATCTTGTATGCTTTTATTGTAAATCTATCTATTTTCTTTTATTGTACATTGATTTTTCTAGATAAAATTACGATCAACCAAACAATTGGTACAATTCAAGCAAACACTACGTGGGGTGCACTCAATGGTCTTATCACATTTTATGAGGTACACTTTGCGGAGAACGATACTAAGGTACCATTTCGCTTTACAGTAATGATATTCTAGTTCTTTTATTCGACAATTAGATGGAAAATAATGCAACACGGGTCATTGAAGATCAACCGCGTTTTCCATATCGCGGAATTTTTCTGAACACCGCTCATAATTTTTTGTCACCTTTACAAATAAAAAAGCATTTGGTAAGTCAATTCTGGCAGGTTGGAGTGAATGGATTCTGGTTTTTCTATCTTCTATTGTTGAACTTTTGTATATTTTCATGTCTCTAACGTTCTTGTTCTTTATTCGTAGGATTTGATGTCCTACAACAAATTTAATGTACTTCATTGGTGCCTTGCTGATAAAACATATTGGTCACTTAAGTTGAAACGATATCCAGCACTAACCGAACAAGTTCGACTAACTTATTTATACTGATTGCCATTATTTATATATTAACTAGCGTGCGAGTTCATCGGATCATGTCTATAATTCTGATGAAATTGAAGACATTATTCAATATGCTCGTCTTCGTGGCATTCTAATCATTCCTGAATTTAACACTCATTCCTATATGGAGATACTAAGTCAAATACATGATGAAGGTCAGCACTAACTTCGTCATCAAAGCTACTACTAATGGATAAGTTTTTCTATCTTTAAGATTTGAAAGTTCTCAGGGAGGATCAGTCAAAGACAGACATTTACCAATTTATGAAAGCCATTTTTGACGAAATCAAGCAAATATTCAAAAATGAATCCTATATTCATATCAGCACAGTTGAAATCAACACGCCATTCTAGTAGGAGAATATATGTTCTATCTTTCTTAATTTCTATCATCCTCCTTGCTTAGTTCGTCAAATAGCCATATTCGAAAATTCGCTGAAGAGAAACACCGGAACAATACTTCAGAACTTTTAAAACATTATTTTACTAAAATTTTTGAAATCCTTCAAGAAAACGGAATTAATGCGATGTTTGGGCAAGAGTACCTCGATGCTGGTTTCGAGCTATCACCAGAATCAGTTATTGAGATTAGAAGAAACTCATCAATACCTACTTATTTATCGAAAGCAATTAGCCAAAGTCACAGATTCGTCAAGTAGGATACATCGTCTTTCTTCGTACAATCCTTTGTGAAATGATTTGTCTTTAATGATTTCATTGTAGACAAATGAATCATTCAGATCCATGTGTGCTTGAAGCTGATGAGATCACTCAAAAACGACTGATAGGATATGAATGGGGTTTCGACGAAGACTGTAATGATCAATCGGATGATTTGTTGCGTTCTTGGTCCAAAGCATCAGTAATATTACGAAAACTATGGATCCTCCCAGAAACTGTACATACAGAAGGTAGTCAAATTCAATAGTATGTTCAATGATATTGACCATATGAATTCTTATTGAATTACATTCGTGAACCATTACTGCGATGAAAGAAAGATTTAACTTGTTTGAACAATAACAAAGTTCATACACATACTTTTTGAAATTTTTTGTGAATCTTTATTATTCAAGAAGTTCAAACACAATATATAAGTAGTACCATGTTACTGTATATTATTAAGGAGCGTCTCGGACAATAAGGAGAAAAGCAGAATTCCTGAGCTCATACACTCTCGTACTTCCGTTATCTTCCCATTGTACTTTCATGGTTTTCTCTTTCTTCATTTTAATGTGGTGTAGCATTATAGCTCAAATGCAAAACCCGAGATTTGTATTTAGACTTTCATTAAGAGGGTAAATAGGATCGTTCAACTATGTAGTCAGACGTTAAATCATAATATACGTATAATAAGATTTTTGGGGTTAGTTCTTTTTTTCTTCCAGAAAAAAAACTGGAAGTAATAGAAAGACGAGTAACGATGGAATCTTAATTTCAAACGAATGGAACAAAAACGTTCTAGTTTCTAAACATTAGATAAACTAAGTAAAGTGTGAAAACGGGAAGGATTCTGCCAGTGACAACTGCAAATGGTGGATTGCCGGGCTGGGGGGGGGGGGGGGGGGGGGGGGGGGGGGGGGGGGGGGGGGGGGGGGGGTTTGCCGGGCTCCCCCCCCCCCCCCCACAAAAATGTATTGACGCTAGTTTTTTTTAATCTTTTCAGTAGCGTCAAACTTGAAACTTGAATTCAATTGAATTCAAGTTTCAAGTTTTACACTTATGAAAATTAAAGAGACATAATTGGAGATTGAGACGCACTGATGTAAATTTACTCAATATAGATAGTGAACTTCTCTATCATTTGTTCAATGTTTCAAATAATAATAATTATGTTATATAAGAGCCATTGCATGTAAGCCACAACCACGTGCAACAGAACGTGCTCAATCGTATATCACAGATTTTATTCATTTCGATATATGTGATAGATGAGAGTATTCAATGAACTTCTGCGCAAACCGCATCGAAAAATATTGGACCTATCATTTTTTATTCAATTTTTACGAAAAGCTCTAATTTCTACCTAAAAAAACTCTTGGTATTTGTTACAATTATATCTCGAGAAAAAATCAACAGATTCAGCTGAAATTTTCTATACAATTCTAGGCATATGAACGCTACTTCCACAAAAAAATTCAGGTCAATCTGTCTCTTCTTTGGGTTTCTATAGGACCCACTTTTTGACAAAAGACGATATTTTTCAGCAATTTTTGTGGTGTAATATCTGACGATGGGTGCATGACACAGCTTTGAAATTTGTATGGTAGAAAGACCTCACTCGGGACTATTATCAAAAACAATTTCAGCTCTCCAAAGTGAACTTTTTGCTAGTAGTAGATCCATGAAAGTCGCAACTTTTGAGATTTTAGCAATTTTCGGCGGTGATGCGCCGGAAAAATACCGGGTGTCTGACCTGCGAAGTAGTTGTCCCTGATAGAGTCAACTTTGGTCTACAACTCGGTGAAAAGATTGGCATAGGATCTCTATAGGGACACTGGCCAAACGGGTTGCACTGGGAGCCCTATACACAGCAAGTGGCTTTTTAATGGTACGAGCTTTGTACTCGAGATACATGTAAGATTTTTCATATCTATGTATTTTTTTACGCTGAAAACGATGGTAATAGTCTTTTTTAAATATGATTGATCATAGTTCAGCAAAATGAAACCATGAGGGGGGGTATTAAAAAATTTTATGTATATTGCAAAAGAAGTTTTTTTTCAATTATGATTATTTACAGATTCTTTAACGAAATGCGCTTTATTTGGTGACTCGACAATTAAGATCGAGTTTTTATTTATTATTTTTCATATAGTCACTTTATGGCGCCATTCATCAATTGTATTTCCTAGAACTTGCTCAAGTAATGAATCTAATAACACATCGTAAGTTCAGGTGTCATTCATCTTCATCACGTATTTTATTCATCGTTATTAGATATTCATTAAAATAACATTGGCAATGCAAATCTAATAAACTAATTAAGTGTTAGAAGGTAGAAAAGAGTTTAGTGCTGCTCTTTGTTCGCTTCGATAAGTTCGGTGATCAGTTGTTGTTTTTTTGTAATGCTATATTCTGCTCCTAGTTTTCGAAAGCGATATTTGATTTGATTTATGGTTGCATATTCGTGCGGTTGAAAGAGTTTGGTACCACTCTTCATGTCTCTTCGGGAACGTATCTCTTGTTGAACTTGTTCAGGTGTTAGTTTGGAGCCAGTTTTTTTGTGAATGTAGCCACATATCTTGAATAAACTTTTTTGTTTTATCATTCATCGTATTAATGTGCTTTCGAGTACGGAGAGCCCATCCAAGGGATGAAAATTTTTTGTAATGAACCGACTGAGATATGGCATCAGTTGACGAGGTTTGATTTGTTTTTATTTTTTTGATATCGTGGTGAGATTGAAGATTTGTTGAACGGACAGTGTCTATCAAATGTAGTCTTGCAATATCATTAGAAGTTCGTGGGTCGGGTGGTGGAATTTTGTGTAAATTGACTGCCATATGTGAATCGAGATCTTCGTTAAATTCAAAAGTTGAGGTGCATCCATTTACAGGACACATTAAAAATTGGTGATGAATACGATCATTTCTCCTAATGCAGAAGAATAACAAAATTAGAATAAAGAAAGTCTTTTTTACTTGTTCATTGCAAGACTGTGTTCTTGATCTTGAATGGGAATTGTGAAAGGACTTGTTAATCGCATGCTGGTTTCAAAGTCGATTTTTTTGTAAGCTATTTTTGATCCATCTCCGACGTTCGATGCCTTGGAGACCTTCATATATCTTGATTCGTATTGAATAGAGCGAACAGTTGAAACATTCAGAATATTGGTCTTTCCTAAGGTACCTTTAGAAAAGATGAGAAGAATGCATACTTTATAAAAGATTTGCTTTAGTTTAGTACTTACCCATGCCTGGCACGATCTCTGCGACTGCTATTTTTGTATGTTTTACTCCTCCGGCGTATTCCATGCCTTCTTTTATATCATTTGCACAGATTATATCATTGCCATTGGCACCCCATGAGCGCAATCTGACTTTGGCCACTCCACATACTCTATCACAGATGTCCTTTCCTTTCTGAACCTCACTATAATCGTGAGTCAGGAGTTGGATACCTAACTAATGAATGTAAGGCTATTAAAAATCGTAATTTTGTTGAAGAAACTTACTCGATCACATATCAGCTTTTCGATTTCAGGTGTAGAATGTGATGAGAAATTGCCAGCATTATCCGTTCTCTTGTGCAGCTTTATTATATGTTTATGATCTTCTTTGAATTGCTTAATTATAATTTCGCTTCCACTAAGAGAATCGAGATCTGTTTGAGATGCATTCGTAAGAGTAAGAATGTAAGACTCAGTGTTGAATGCAGTCGTAGAATTAGAGGTGGTAGTTGCAGCTGTTTTTGATGAATTTTTCCACACAAATGAACCAATAAGTACTGACATACCTTTCTTTCCAAAATACGTATTTTGACTCTCTGAATTCTTGAGGTAGAATCTTTTGACCCCAGTCAAAGGTGCAAAACGCTTCGTCATCTTGCATTTTAGAAATGATTTTACTTTTTGCATCATTCTGTTGCGCTGCACGAAGATTGTGATGGGACCATTCTATAATATGTTGAGCTGCATTGTCAAAGTCGTATTTGGCTTCCCGTTTCACTTCTTCATTACTTAGTTTTTCAATTTTTTCCTGAATTTCATCTATTGTACGAATAATATTAACCCAGTCAGAGCAATCAAAGGTATGTGATTGTGTACAATTGCGATGTTGTTCCGGACATATTGGATCACTAAGTCCAAATGTAGTACAATGTGTAATGCAGTCAGAATTTTCAGAGCAATGTCCAATATGGGTTGTCTTTTGATACTGCTCTGCCATTTCTATCTGTTTTAGCAACCGCTTTCTTTCGCATTGTGGAATTGGCATTAGTTCGACTATATCTGAAAGATAGATTATTGCTTAAATGTTTCATTAATTTACTGTTCGCTTACTTGATAAGCAACGCCATGCTTCGACACCTTCAACGACAAAGTCGTCCAACCCAGCCACGATTCGTTGCTGCTCGGGTTTTAGACTACTAAGAATATCAATTAACTTTCTATTACAAAGACCTTCGAAGTCAGTCTCATCACAATACTGCTTATAACTGACTATGGCATGCGTTTTTTGAGATTGTAGTATCTGTTTTGATAGTTGTACCTTTTCACCTGTATCCATACGAAGAGTTGTAAGTCCATAGGTGCCTATTAATAAAAATGATGTTAGTTCTTTTAGAAAGTTCGGAAAGAATGGCTATCTCAATTTTTTATAGACAACACATAAATTGATGATAAGCATGCTAGTCATCAACTGCTTGCAAAGACGGGTACTAGCTTATTCAATGGATTTAATTATTGGGACAGGTGTCGAAATCAACTTTACCTGACACAAGAGTATTACTTTCGACTAGCCAGCTAACAAAATGTTTGATCTGATTAGGATCGGCACGTTGTCGAATAGTTGGCTCCTTTTCTGATTGAAGCACCCAAGTGAGCAAAAGACTGGTTAAATGACTAGTCTTTTTTCTAGTCAAGTTGACCCGTCCCGTCTAGTCTTTTTTCTAGTCAAGTTGACCCGTCCCGTCTAG